AAGAAACATACCCTTCACCTGATGTATGCCCTCCAAGGCAACTGACCAAATTTCAGTTCATTGATTTAATCTGCTTGACCAAAAATCAGTGCCTATTGTTCCAAAACATGTAATCATCTCACAGTATATTGCAATTGCTGGTTAAGTGGCTTAGTGTTATTGATAAGAACTCACTCTGATGAGAACAAAGAGGATTGCCAGAATCCCTTATGGAAAATAAAAAAGCTATTTAGCACACAATTTTCAGAAACAGTTTCCAATGCATGAGAGCAGAGGCTGCTCTGTGGATGGGCTGTCATAATCAAATCCTTAGAAAGGGATGAGAAATGAGCATATTATTCTTGATTTACTATCACTTCATTTATGATTTCCAGTTAATACAGATTCACAAAGCTGTGCCAAAAAGATACTAAAGGCCTGATTGGGCTTTCCTAATTCAAGCAAAACCTATTCTCTAAATCCTTTTGAAGTCTTTCAGACTTCTGCCAACTCTTGCAATTTTTATTGCAAGCCTTGCAGTACTCGATGTTTTCCTTAACATTCCAGCTCCTGGAGTTATACAATTGTGAATTTTTATTTTCAGTTTTAAAAGATGTTTATCACCTTCATGACTGAATAGAAAAACTTGCAAATGAGACTTTTAAAAAGTGTTAAAAATAAAGGAGAAAAAGAAGGAAGAACTTAACTGTATAATTTTGCTGAATAACTTCGTAAAAAGGATGATATTCTTGGACCAAATTCATGACTTCTGAGCTCCAGTGCATACTTATGGCTCACCAGAGGCCAGCAGCACACAACTGCATATTTTCACTTAACAGAAGTTTTGTTCTTTCAATGCTTACGTTTGGGGATTTCTTTTCATGCTCATAAAGGTATGTAAAATTTTGAACCTCTTTCCATACAGTGTAGGGGAAACAAAGGACCTTTCCTGCAATCCTCTGTTCCCATGCCAGTGGCCAGGGCTTCCCTCAAGTGCCAATGGCAAAGTGAGAAGTGAAGCAGAGAAAACCTCTCACTGACCATCCAACTGGTGCCAATTTTGCACCAACTGCCTGACCAGGCAGCCCAGTCCTTAAATTGCCTGCTCCAGAGTCTACTGTAAGCCATGTAGTGATCCTACAGGACAGCTGTAGCTGGGGGGCTGCTATCTGGAAAGCCTGGATAAAAAAAGCACAGGCTGTAAACTGTTCCTCCTACAATAGGTGCAAATCCACATGTCACTTTTTAACACTGAAACAACACAATGCTTTCTTTATTTCCCTCTTCCTCTCACCCCCTGATTTCCTCTTTTTTTTTTCCCCTGCCTGATACCTTTTGTTTATCCTATAAGACATCAGAGGCAGGGACTTTTACTTCCTATGTGTTTACACAGTGCTTTGTGTGAAGGCTGACAGCTAGAGATGCCATTATAATCAAAGGTGGGGTAAAGGGGAGGATTTTAAGGCACTAAGGAAAATGAGGCATTCATCTACCATTGACATTCGATAAGCTTTGAGTACCTTTCTCCCCCTTGAAAAATTTGCATTTCCAAGTGCTACAATTAAGATGTCTGTCATCACCAAAATATTCATTGTTAAAATATGACACAGTGTCCAAGAGGGAAAGCCTTCATTTAGAGCAGAGTCGCTAACAAAAAGCTTTTTTTTCTCAGAAGCATTAAGACCTCATTTGTCTAAAATCATGCACAACAGTATTCAACATATTTTCTGGAAGTCCCATGTATATCTTGTATCATATATTGCAATTGTTAGATATCTGTGAAGAAGCATGCACTCTGTCAATTACACATTGTAGGTTTTTTAAAAGAACATTTCCTATAAATAAAGACTTCAATGATCTTCTTTAACTATTGTAATATTAATTGAATTCAATACCTCAGCAAATGGAGCAAACAATCTCCGACTGATTAGATCATATGCTTATATTCTATTTCAAACCTGCACTGGTTTGCAGTAATGTAAGGTTTTTTCATTAGCAATTGCTGTTCAGCCTCATATTTTCTTCAGTAACCTAATTAATGCTAGAAATGTAACTTTTCTTCTTGTGCATTACAGTATGTCAATGGAATTGGCACTCCTGTAGAGGTTACAGTATGTCAATGTAGTTGACACTCTTGTAGAGGTTATATATAAGTAAAAATCGGGGGGAAAAAAGTAAAGGACAAAACTGAAAGGGAATGAAGAAATTAAGCAGATTTTTCATGAGATGGTAAGTGCCTTTATCTCCAGTGACACCAAGATGGAAAGTCCTTACTCAGCACCCTGCAGGACAGACCCGTGGGAGTCCTATGGGTCACTAGCTCAGAAATCATTACATGCAGATAGAATAAGAAAACAGGCATTAATGAAGAGAAAAAGTTATGTCCTTAATTTGATTCAGGAGCTTCCTAGGTCTTTGTAGCATGAACAGTTTTGTAGACAAAATTCAGCTCTGACTTTGGGATGTTATCAATCTCCTTAAATCAAATCATAGGCCTGAGTGCAAACTGTGTTCCAGTACAGTCCTGACTAATTATTTGTATAGTCATAATGACAACAGAGATTCTACCAGGCAGGACACTGAGGCATAGCTGAAGTTAAGAAGGGCTCAGTTATATACTTGGGATGCCATGAGCTGTAGTGATGTTACTATCAAATGCTTTCCTCAGAAATGTTGATCTCAGGCTCACAGATACAAAGTTTCCCATGGGCTACATGAGGGACTTGTGCCAGCCAGGTTAACAGGTGAGAAAGGCTGATCAAAACCTTCACCTTCAAAACATGTTTTGGTGAGTTGCTGCGCACCTCTGGATGCTCCTGGAGTCTGCTGGAAGTTCCTGATGGTGGAATATCAAAGAGTAAATGCTTATGGTATCTTGGTATAGCTACTACGGTCAGAAAGGGAGGAGCAAATGGCACAGCTGCATTGAGGTCACTCGGCTCCAGTGGCAGCAAGGTGCTCTAAAAAACTGAGTAGATGCTCTGACAGAGTCGATAAGGGCCTCATCTTCTTTTAGGTACCACAGTCTAGAAACAATACATCTTCATAAGATCATTTTGCCTAACTGTCTGTTTCCCCTCTTCAGAAAAATTTACACCTCACCGTAGTTGTTAGCTTAAGAAAATTTTCTTCCAAAAATAAGCCACTGGAACACCTCAAAAAGAAAAATCTTAGTGCCAAACATGCAAATAGTGTGTAAATCATACTGGAGAATATTCTCAGAAATTGAGGCCAACTGGCAAAGCAACTATACCAGTAAACTCCCACTGCCTACAAATCGTGCAAGGTGCCAACTGGGAATGGTCCCTGTGACATTCTACCTGTCAAATTGTACCTGGAATTTACCTGAGAGAGTGGCAGAGCCCAAAAGTGTGCTAAGAACTGATAGAACAGTTTAACTTAGTTTAATTTTAATTTAGTAACATTAATTTATCCCAAACTCTTCCACACTGCGAGGGTGTCTTGCACTTTTACATGCAGATCTTCCTGGTAAATTTGATGAAGTCTTAAATCTTTCTGCTACAAAATACTGAGATCAAACTAGTTGGACAATACATTGTGATATACTATTTAAAACAGAATTAGTAACAAAGAAAATTTATTGCCTATTTAATAAAAACAGTGCAGCTTATTACAGTAATCATTAAAAAACCTGCAACCTGCAAGTCAAAGTGATTTTTTTTTTTAAAGCTCCCTTTTAACTTAAATGTACTGTTTCAGTTTGTTAAATAAAAATTTTTACTTTTATTTAACTGTAGTTTTTGGTCTATGGTATAAAGCATAAAAAGATACTACAGACAGAAAAGCTGAAGATTCAAGTTTGATGCCCTGATCAAATTCAGTCTGTGGTTTGAGTTTTTATGCAGAAAACAAGCAACTTGACCTCAGCCTATGAGTATAATCAGCATGTTCTCCTCCATTCTTGAGAAAATTAACCTCATTCATCAACATGCTCCTGCTCATGATGCTTTCTGTGTTCCTTGTCCTACTTCTGGATCTCAGGAGTGTAGCTGTCATGGCTTGATGGCACAGTGGGCACACAAGCAAGCATGTGAACCAAATGAACATAAGAAAAGCTTTTAGAATTGTACCTTTTGTTTTGTGTTGGTTTAGGGTTTTTTTGTGAGGTTTTTTTGTGGGTTGCTTTTTGTTTTTTTTTTCTTTTGAAGACAGAATAAATGGAAAAAAATATTCTCCACCACAGAAACGCCTTGATAAGCTTTAGGTTTTTAAAGCACAACATCTGAATGCTTTTACTTACGGTATCCCCAAGATGAAGGTACTTAATTCACTCACCTGTTTTTCCCCCTCCTTTTCCCAATAATTAAATTCCCCCACATATTATACAGAGATCCTGACAAAACCTGAAAGCAATTGAATATATCACTAAATTCATGAGATGCAAATGACCTCAACAAACAGTAAAGAACAGCCTCTGACTTGAAGCCTGGTGCAGAGTGCTCTTAATTCCCTCTGCTGCCACTGCTTCTTATGAGGAATTCTGCCAGAGAAGATGATCAGTCGTGGGACTTAAAGAAAGTGCTAATTCCCTCTTTTCCAGCCTCTTACAACTTTTTGTCTTCACACCTCCTTCCTGTTCTCCCTTAAAACTGAGTCTCTTTTCTCTATCTCATGGATAAAGTCATCACTCCATTTCATTATCTCTAATTCCAGACATCCTGCATTCCTACACTGAAAGTAATCGATGTAAGCCATCAGAGGAAGAAAGAATATTTAAAAATATGCAGCACTATGAAGATGGATGACAGAGCAATAAAACTCAGCACAAGAACAATCTGAACTGGTAAGTTTGCCTAATTTAGAAGAACAGCAAAATCTTTACTTTCTCTCTAAATGCTGATCAACATCACATCCATGAGCCATGTGTGGTACAGAACTTTAAACTGTAATTCATGCATTTCTTCAACAGGAACAATTTCATCTGCAGCGTGAAAGTGATATAGGAAGCCACACTCCCAAAGATGGGAACATATTCTCAAAAGGTGAGGAAGTGGACTAACCTGACCAATCGGTTCTTTTGTCGGGGCCTTTCCTCTTCTAGCAGTGCTCGTGGCCAAAGTGGTGGTTGTTTCCATGACTGACGTGGACATCTCAGACTGCATCGCTGTGGCTGTGGACTCGGTTGTCATAGAGGAAGGCACTTCACCAACAAGTCTCACATTTCCTTCTATCACGATGTTGGCATCATTTTCTGCTGCCATATTCAGAACTTTCAAGCCATTGTAGTAAAGACCAGAGAGCTGGCCTTGGAAAGGGTGGCCACGTTCCTTGCCTCCAATTTTTATGGTTGCTTGGCTATTGAAGATTGTGAGCTGACGCCCTGTGAAGATAATATTATATACATGCAAATATGTTGACTGTGAACACTATACTCTACACGAGTGATAACAGATTGTCATGGGGTGAAAAATGAGAGCAATAAACTATAAGAAAAGGATTTGACTCATAATTCATTGCTTTTTAATGAGGTGTCCATGAAATGCATAAATTTTGAAGGCATTTTTGTGTTTATTAATTTACAACTTTTTGGGATTTACATGTTTTTTGCTAAAAGGCCAATCAAATATACTTGCAAACGTGTTTAGCACTACGTGTGATACCCCTCTCCCTGAAAGCAGTGTTAACCTTTTGGTGCGCCTCAAGAATGCCAGGTTTCTAATTCCTTAAGATAACTTTTTCTTCAAGTCTGCCAACATTTAAAAGTTTTTGGTTTGTTTGGTTTTTTTTTCCCATGCAATGCAGCATAGAGCCTATAGCTTTATGTACTTGTGAGTTTATGTATGTATAGACATATACAAATATGTATATACACACAGACAAAGTTTATATATATGCCAACGAGTCATTAGGTCAAGTAAATTTTAAGGAATTTATGCAGTAATCTGTCACATCTCTATATAAGTGAATGTTTACATTTTTAATTGTTTCCTTTTCATATTTAAATGTTTATTTTCCTTCAACATACACACTGAAAAGAAACACATGGTTCGCACTGAGTATCTCAGAGGCAGATTCAAAAATAGATGTCTGATTGGCTTTCAGCAAGGCTATCAATTAAAATAAAAGATTTTAGATGTAAAAGCGGCTTCAGAAATGATACACATACCAATGGAGAAATCATGGCACATTTCCATTAAACAGAGAAATCCTCAGCAACAGTACCACTCTTAGTAAATAGAATAATCACTTTAGCAGATTGGTTTCTGCTCACAAAAAGCATGCACACAACTTTAAGTTCTGTTTTAATTAGTGTTTGTTCCAAAATCCCCTTAGAAAGTTGCAAACGTTAAAGGGACTTCATTTTGATTGGCAATTCATATTGCCCACTATTTAAGATACCTAAAGTTTAAACAAATTTTTTTTCAGGACCATAATGAAGATATCATAACTACACATATTTTTAGTTAATAATTTAGATGCTGGAACATGTAATATAATCTATGAATGATTTATAATTTTTGGTTAATGTTTGCTATGAGTACCTTCATAGATTGAGTTAGTGGATTATATTTAACAGTCCCTTTAACCTTAAGTTAACAGGGTAAGATTATTAAACAGCTGGTACTTCTAGAAATGTATAGAAATTATTATACAAGGTATGCAAATATTACTCTATATTTTACTTTTTAAAATTTGTTTTAATTTAGTTTTACTGAAATTTATTTTTTATGTTTATTAGTGTTACAATGAAGTACTACTTGGTTATGTTCAAATTATTTTTTTATTTGAAGTTTTAATCAATGTTTTTTACCTTTGTCGAGTAGCCATTCATCAACTACTCGACCAAGTCGATATGGAATTCGCTGTCTAGCAATCGCCAGGCGCTCGTTATCATTGTTTCCTTTAAAGTTTAAAGAGACATTTCATTGGTTAAAATCTGTAAGGTCAAAGGTTAAAAGTTAATACTTAAATCTTGAGCTATACAGTTGCCACATGATTTTTTGAAATTTGGAATTTTAAAAAGTGCTACCTAGAACATTTCATGGTTCAGACTTTTCATTCATTCATTTATTTTATTTTAGCAAACAAAATTATTCCTATGTTAATTGAAAATTAGAAATCTGCATTTGAGCTAGGTTATTAAACTTATGTTATAGACAGACCCAAAAAAACAAATTTAAACATCATCGAATGGCTTTACAAAAAAATGATAGTTGACCTCAGGGTTTTGTCTTTTTTGATGTTTCTTATTAACTAGTTAAACATGTTCAGGTGAAACAGGTTTAAGTTTTCAAAAGACATCCAACCTCTCACTCCAGGTTAGTCATTTAAAGAAGAAGAAGAACAAAGCTGTTAATCACCATCTAAGGCACACTTACTTCTGCTGTCTAGTAATAGTCCTGCTGTACTTATTCCTAAGCAGAAAAAAAAAATACATACTTCTTTGCTTCATTTAAATAAAAACCGGAGATTCAAATATATGGTACAGAACAGACCAGGGTATTCACAGTTTGTACGTTCTCTTAGGACTCATTCACAATGTCTTGAAGGAACACCAAGGCTTTGACAAAAGTGACTTCTGAAAGGTAGCCTGGTTCTGAAACATGGATGTGCTTGAAAATTTAGCAAGAAGCCATCTGTAGTGAGGTTTCATAAGTTAAGAACTAAGCAGAAGTCGGCAATGCAAAGGGCAAACTTGTCATATTTGCAAACCATTATCTATTTTCAGTCTGTGTAAAGATCTTTGATTTCTTTAACTAAAATAATGAGATAAAATAATGCTGGTATGATCAGAGAAATAGCAGATAAGGAATAATTAGCAAAACAATTTAAATATTTATTTCTAATTATAGTTTTTTCATTTGATGTAGGTGTGATCCCTCAGAAAATCATATCTTCTACTTAGGAGAATGGCAAACCTAAAGACTTCCTTCAATGTATAGGTTTTTGGTGGCAGTAGAGTTTTAGACCAACAATACCTTTTTCTTTCATTGTATTGGTTCATATTAGTAAAGAATCTGAGAGGTAGGAAGAGCCAGATGAGTAAAAAACAGTCATTCACAATTCATGTCCAAATCCAAAGTCAATCTTATTATTATTGTCTTTGACTTCAAAATCCACCAAATAAACCAATGCATCAAGTCCTGTATCTGCAGTGAAAATGTAAGCACACGATGCAGTAAGTCCACATAATGTTCAGAAAGATGTGTTCTTGATCTAGAAGGATCCTACTGCTAATTATCAAATGAAAATATTGTAGAAATTCAGGAGATCAGTGTTCTAGTTTGACAGACAATTACAAGTCATAACAGGCTTGCAGTATAATAGCCCCCCAAAACTGCAAAAGAAACACCTTCTGTGCCAAAAACCATGGTGATTTTATGCAGATTCTTATCCTGCAGTGACATAAACTGCTATTTGCCATGTTTCATGCATCCCTCATTTGGTTTAGCATGGACATAATTTGCTATGCCAGAAGCAGACCTATTTTCTTTTGAGACGATGGCTTTTTCCTACTCACTTTCCAATACAGAATCATAAAATGGTTTGGGTTGGAAGGGATATTTGAAGACCATCTAGTCCAATCCCCCTGCCACAGGTAAAGACATCTTTCACTAGGTCAGGTTAAAAAGTGCATGGACACGTGTGTGTGTGTGTGTGTGTGTGTGTGTGTGTGTGTGTGTGCGTGTGTGTGTGTGTATGCGCGTATATAAAATATATACATTTTTCTCATATGTACATTTTCCTCCGTTCCCAAATTTCAGAAACATTTTATGTAAAGTAGTATTTTACTGAAACTTTCCCTTTCCTATTTCTCCAAGAAACTGAAAATTTAGAATAAAACACTTCGGAACACAACTACTGTGATGATGTGAGAATACAGAAAGTTTAATTTTTTTTCCCCTGTTGTGATCTTTCAAATTACTTCCCTTCATCCTGGGCTCTTTCTTTTACAAAAAACTTTTTGTGACTAAGTAGAAATTTGAGAAGTACAAGTAAAAGCATAAGAAATGTCATATGACCAACATAGGAACAAAAATAAATGGTATGATTCTCCATGTTTCTGTTCTGGATTATCTTCAATTAAAATATGTACATATTTATGTACACCTAAACCAATGAGTTAATAATTTATTTTCTCTGACAGTCAGTTACTTTTAACACATTTAGCTTTTCAGTAAGATGTTTCTACAATGTTTATTGAGGCATTATCAGTTGAGTCACTAAGTGAGAGAATGTCCTGTTTCCAAAAGGTTTCCTTAACTTAAAACAAATGAATCATAAGATTTAGTTGTGGTTGGGTACTTTTCTTTTTTTGGTGTGTTTTTGGTAATCTATATTTAAAAAAATTAAAATTGGTGGAGTGGGTGAGATTCTTCTATTAAAGTTATAAGAAAAAGGCTAAGTAGTTCAGAAGAGGTTTGTGGGAATAAGGAATCTGCTAACATAATGGGAAAAAGTCCTATGGATAGACGTCATCATTCACTCATCAACACAGTCATCATTCACACACTGTTACTCACTGGATGCCTTTCCTGAACAAATGCTCTCCAGAACTCAGAGGAACAGTTATGTCAAAGGGAAACACTGTTCACAACTGTGTATATTGGGAAGGCATTAAACTATGTTGTTATTCAACCAGCAGGTGTAAATCAGGTGTATTTGGTAGAGGGACCCTCTGCAATCACCAGACTGGATCCTTAATGCTCTTTCACCTCTCTACTGTAATTCCATTACTAACACGGGATTTATCCTAGACAGGGTTTATTCCTGCCTCCACTGTTACTAGTTGGCAGCTGCTCCAGAACATCTCTATGGTAATCGTGGAAACTCCTCTGTGAATTAACAGCATAAATTTAGTCTTGGCCAGCTTATACATTTCTTTGAATTATTTCATTAAAACATACAGTATGTATGTTTTTTGAGAATATTGCACCCTATTATAATGTGACTCTATCAATAAATTATGTTTTATACTAACTGCAGCAGCCTTTCACCACTGGGAGCAAAATTTAAATGAAAAGCAAGGAAATAACAATTTGATTTGTAAAGGTCACACAAAAAATAATTGCTGATTACATTAGCCCATTCCTCATCAGAGGAAAACTGCATATCAATTTGACACTATTACATTAGCTTAAATTCTTCTAGTGTATAATAAAAATGGAAGGGCTAGGGGGAAATGGTGTGGAACTTATCCAGATTTAGTTTCAAGGAGAACACATAGGTTTAGTAATGATGAAAGTAGTAGACACATAAGTAACTTTACAACTACATTAAAAAAATTTACATGTAGCATTGAAAATAATGGAAACAACATTAAAAGCAACAAATATCTATTAATACATCCTGAAAAACAAGTATCTTTTCAATAATTGCTGCTTCTCAAACAGTTGGTTTGGGTCATACACTCAGTTTCAATGAATCTAGACAGCCCCACTGAATTCAGTAAAACTGTGTGAATTTCCTTCATCTTATACTCTCATCCCCAGTAGAAAAATCATAAATACCAAAGTTTGTTTTTCTCAGGAGTATTCAGTGCACGTTTTTCTACCTTTCTTTATTTATGCTTGTTTTTTACCAATATGGTGAACCACGAGGAACTTCTTCAGTAAACACAATTCCAGGAAGGTTAATAAATTTTTTCATACTCTAAATAAACCTGTGGCTTTAAGATTTTATTTCTGCTACCCATCTGAAAGATTAAGTGCCCTGGCAGGGATCCTTTCAACCGTAATTCATATAAAACAACCTATATGCCTAAACTTTAATTGTACACAGCTATGTGACTATCCAGTATTACTCTTGGGTATATGGCTAAGATTTCTTTGATTAAAAAAGCTGTGTAGAAATGATTCACTCAGGATGTGCACCATGACATTGTCCAACCTGATTGAATTCTAGCTGGTTTCATGCTTTTGCCAAATAGATAATATTTTGTCACAACAGACTGTTAATTTTGTAGGGGCAGAAAGTCTTCAAGGGAATAACAATAATTCTAAAGAATCAAGGTAGGCAGAGAGGAGAAGCAAAGGTCAAATCTTTGAGTCACAGCTAAATCTTGTGTCACGATTGAGAAGAAACAGTCAAAAAAAAAAAAACTTTAATCATACCTTTATATCTATAGGTCAGCTGGGACAAACCAACTGTGTGAACTTCACTAATATGTATTTTATCCCTGCTGATTTATTATATTGTCAGGGCTGGAGTGTAATTCTATTTTGTGCTCTGAAATAAAGGTGTCAGTTATTGATGTGAAATAGCAGCATCCTTGAAAGAGAATAAGTAAGAAGGTTGAAAACTGAGAGTCTGTGAAGAACAACCTAGACTAGAGAATATTTTCTTTGAAATAAACCCTTTAGCAGAATACAAATTCACATGGTTAGTGCCAGTGATCTGTTAAGGAAATAAATAACAAAATGATGAAATCCAGGTATATCTCCATTTATAAACTACCCTCTCTCCCTAGTTTTGTTCGTCATGATCTTGACACTGCTATTTCTGAATATCAGAAATTCTGAATATATCTGCAAGAGGAAGACAGAGACCCATATCATTCCTCCAGATGTAGTTAGGGAGGAACTCTGACTGAAGTGTCACCTGCATGGCATGAGAGGGAGCCACAGCAGCTCTGTGATACAGGGGCAAACAGTCCACCATACCATCTGGCCAGGCCAGAATAACCTCAGTAGTGGCCCATACTAAAGTTTTGAATCATCTATTACTATTACTGTGCACACATGTAGTAGTGTGCTTGAGACTGGCTGCATGGGGTAGAAGAGAAGTAGTCCAGGTTCGCCTCAGGAAATCCCTGCATTTGTGTGGGGGACACTGCTTTGACCTATACTTTTGCTGAGTGCTTACAGATTTGTCTATGTGGTGTTTGATCCAGGAATGAGC